CAAAGGTTGGAAGAAGGAGCAGCCGCAATCGAAAAAGCTACACAGAAAGTTGAAAGCGCACTAAACGATTTTGCCATTAAACTCCAAGAAATACACCCAGATCTGCCAAACGTCGAAACGGCATTCGAGGAAGCCGTGGCCGACTCAGAACAAGCAATAGCTAACGCTTTCGAGTATGTCACAATCCTCCACGCTCGCATAAAGGGCTTTAAGGCGTACATCGAGCGCTCCCAAGATGACACCACAACGAACAAGTGGAGCGACACATCATCAATGCAAACTGCAATCATAAAGAACCTCGAGCTACCCACAATCCCCATTCCAACGTTCAACGGCGATATATGGGAGTGGGACAACTTTTGGGAGCTCTTTAATACAAATATACATTCACAAAAGGTCTCAGACCTACAAAAATTTAATTACCTCATCAGCTCATTAAAAGGAGAACCCCTTCAAGCCATAAAGAAATTCCAAATCAGCAAGGAAAACTACCAAAAAGCTATAGATTTTCTCATTAAGAAGTATGGAAACCCTGAAGAACTCATTCTTCAACTTCTCGACAAACTGGACAAAACTGCTCCTCGCTCATACGCTTTGCATGAGCAAAGAACACTACTGGACCATATACAAGCGATAATACTCCAACTAATCGAAAAAGGAGAAAATGTAAACAATCAATGCATGTACAAGAAAGTACTATCGAAATTTCCTATCGAAACGCAACGTAAAGTACTTTCGAAGAAAACGACAACTGAGGAACTCTTCGACATGCAACTACTTCTACAATTCCTAGAAGAGATCATCTCCAATGAGGAATTGATCTCACGCTATACCACAAATGGCCGATCAATTCCAACCACTAAAACCAACTTTGATAGCAAAGCAAAACAATGGAAACCCCAATATTCAATGCTTTCATGCATGTATTGCAAGGGTAACCATAAATCGCTCTACTGCGACAAGTATAGAACACCTCAAGAAAGGTCGCAGTACCTCCAAAAGAATGGGTTGTGCTATATTTGTGCATCCTCTTCCCACAACACATTTCAATGCAGCAAGCCATCGTGTTACAGGTGCCAAAAACGGCACCATACATCGTGCTGCTTCTATTCACAAAAAGAAAAACCTCTCACACTATCCCCGAAGAGAGAAGAGATTAAAAAAGATGTAAAAGATAACAAAGAAAAACTGAAAGATAGGAAATCCACAACAAAAATAAATCAAGTCGGACAAGGAGCAGCTACCGAAGAGGAAACATCAACCCTATTAAACAAAACACTACAGTCAACCTTCTTACCTACAGGAGAAATGACTGTAATAGACCCAACAAGAAGAAGATCTCCGTATTGTTGGACACTGGAGCAGAATTATCGTTCATAGACGAAAAACTCGCTCAAGAACTTCGTCTGCCCACAATAGCGGAAACAAAATTACGATTACACACATTCGGATCAGACGAGATAAAGGAAAATATATCAAGGAAAGTTCCATTAGACGTATGGGACGCAGATGGGCACCAGCTCTCACTGTTCCTGTTCACACACGACGGAATAACAAANCCATTCAAACCGGCACCAATCTGCCCAGAAGATGTAAACTTCATTCGAAAGCACAATCTTCAAATTGAAGTCAACAAAAATAAATCTAAAATCAAACCATCTATCCTGTTAGGCTGTGACCAATTGTGGACTCTAATAAAAACCGATAAACCCCACATTAAACTGCCATCCGGATTACATCTTCTTCCAACACGCCTCGGACACTTGTTTACAGGGAAAATCAGAAATTCACCACAGTCACAACAAAACGAAAGTGAGAACTCAGTACAACTACAGCAAGACGAAGATGAAACGGATAAATGGGATGAATATTGGACATTACAAGGACAAATCAATACTGCCTTCGTCCAACGTCCCGAAGCAAATGATGACGAAGCATTCAAAAGGGAAAAAGATGATGACGAGGCACTCAAGTGGGAAAAATACTGGACATTAGAATCCGCCGGTACAGAGGAGTTTTTGAACTCCGAAGCAGAAGAAAAAAGATTGATGGATGACAAAGTTTGGGAAAACTTCAACAACACCATTGAAAAACGATCCGACGGATATTACGTTCGTCTTCCTTGGAAAGAATTACACATATCATTACCCGATAACAAAGCAATTGCACTCAACAGGCTCGTAAGTGTATGGAAATCCTTACAAAACAACGAAGATTTGCTGAATATGTATAATAGCATATTTGAAGAGCAACTTCGCTTAAATGTTTTAGAGGAAATTGTCGAAGAGAAGTCACCACAAGCTTCTCGTATTCATTATATTCCTCACCAAGCCGTCTTAACACCGAATAAAAACACTACTAAACTCAGGATAGTCTACGACGCATCAGCTCATTACAAAGGGTGTCCATCACTAAACGATGTTTTGCATCGTGGACCAGTAATTCTTCCCGAACTATTCGGAGTTCTCCTCCGGTTCAGAATCGGACGAATCGCAATTACTTCAGACGTCGAGAAAGCGTTCTTACAAGTACGACTTCATGAAGATGACCGTGATGTCACACGTTGCCTGTGGTTATATGATCACAAATCACCACCCTCTCCAAGCAACATTAAAACCCTTCGATTCACCCGCGTAACCTTCGGATTAATTACATCACCGTTCCTGCTGGCCGGAACAATTCACTTCCATCTCAATCAGTACAAGCAGGACTCTGAACTGGTCACGGAGCTCAAAGACAACTTATATGTCGACAACCTTATATTAACTGTCGACGACCTGGAAGAGTCACTGCATATCTACGCACGTACAAAACAAATATTCAGTGACCTCAATATGAATCTTCGTGAATTTGTCTCAAACAACGCGGATTTGATGGCAAAAATAGCCACGCAAGACAAATCAGACGAAAAACTACCGAAAGTGCTTGGAATTCCATGGAATACATATTCTGACTGCCTACAACTATCATGCATTCCAAAAACACAACCACGTGTAACCAAGAGAACAGTTGCTAGTACGCTAGCCTCTGTATACGATCCCATGGGTTTCCTGTTACCTTTACTCCATAGAGCAAAGGTATTCCTACGAACTTTATGGAAAGACAAGTACGACTGGGACAATGCTCTACCAGAATCCTACAAAGAACAGTGGAACAATATATGCACAGAAATGCAAGGATTTTCGATATCTCTACCACGTTATCTTGGCACAAAGAATTCTAATTACACCTTAGTAACTTTCGCCGATGCCAGTACCGAAGCTATCGCCACTTGCATTTATCTGCGCTCAGAAGACTCAACTAATCTCCTTATGGCAAAAGGGAAACTGCCTTCACTGAAGTCCACATCAACAATACCAAAAATGGAACTAGATGCTGTTACCTTGGCACTCCGATTAACAAGGGTCGTGCTAATCCAACTTCAAAAGGCGTTAAGAGTTCGAGAAATTTTCATTTTTTCCGACTCGGAAATCGTACTTAACTGGATAAAACGCAGACCTCTCAAAAATGTCGGGCTCAGAATATTTAACCGACTAATGGAAATAGAAAAAATTGCTGAATATATTCAAAGCGTCGGTTCTTGCATCTTCTTTGCTCATGTCGCCTCACAATACAATGCTGCCGACTGTGCAACTCGTGGACTCAACCAACATGAATTGCTGGACCATTTTTGGTGGACTGGACCATCCTTCCTTCAAGAATCTCCAGAACAATGGAAAGTCAACTTCGACGTCTTCCAAAACAGCGAAGTCTCTTCGACAGAATCTCCGCAATCGAATTACAATCAGAGCTTAAATACTGTTGAGGAATTTTCTAGAGAAGAACAGCAACTCTTTCTCACAAGACACAGTCCGTCAAACAATAAAAACGAGAATGATATCTTCAACTCATTGAAGAAATATTCGTTACCTAACGCAAAAAGGATTGTGGCACTAATCATACGTTACATTCGGATTTTAATCACTAAAGTGAATGTCCGAACACACCGACATATTAAACTTTCTAAACTCTTGGAAAGTACGGATCCAAATCAGTATTTCAACATCTCAGGCAAAGAAATTACAATAGCCGGAAAAATGCTAGTCAAACAACATCAACGATCCACAATAACTAACTCCGCACTTCAGTCGATGACACACCTCAACGTCAGACCTGACGAAGAAGGTCTGCTCCGATGTTTTGGACGGTTGGGAAGAAGTGATTTAAACGCAGAGACCAAAAACCCCCTGCTCGTGCTGCAAAATTCCTGGCTAGCACATGCAATTATACAAGACTGTCACAACAAGGGACATCCAGGTATAAGCCATACAATGTCAATTGTACGACAAAAATTCTGGATTCCCAAATTGAGGGCACAAGTAACACGTATCCTCAGGCATTGCATACAATGCCAAAGGTTCAACAACCTTCCTTACAAATACCCCGAACAAAGTGACCTACCCCAACAAAGAGTTTTGAGGTCACGACCCTTTGAACACGTAGGTCTAGACTACTTTGGTCCACTAACAATCATTCAACAAGACTCCACTGAAGGCAAGTGTTATGGAGCTATAATAACATGCATGGCAACGAGACTTATACACCTCGATATTGTCTCGGACCTCACGACCACGGCATTCTTAATGTTTCTACGCCGTTTCTTTGCAAGAAGAGGAATGCCCAAATCCATTACAAGCGACAACGCTCCAACTTTCATTCTTGCAGAAAACATTCTTAATGAATGCCTACAGTCTATCCAAAAAGACCCAGCAGTAATGCGAGCTATCAGCAATCGAGAAATACAGTGGAGATACATCACTCCGTTTGCTCCATGGCAAGGAGGGTTTTATGAAAGGCTCATCAAGTCAGTAAAACACTCCCTCTATAAGACCCTTGGAACAGC